CAAGAAAAAAAGATTGACTGCATAATAGTGAAAATCGAGTTTGATTTTGAGCTGACCAAGAAAAAAAGATTGACTGCATAATAGGCCTTTACATGTATTCATTAATATTAGATACACAAGAATATGAAGAGCTGAGTTCACAACTGTTTCTCTTCAAAATTATTTCTCAGTTATTATTTGACCAATCAACACCAACTCCCCCCCCCCCATGCCCGCTATTTAATGTCAAAACAGTCCTGGCATTTGTATCTTCTTTATTCTATAAGCGAAAGTAATTTGTGGCTAACATTTTCCTTACTCTGACGATTATAAACTGTTATCTTGCCTCGCCCTAATATTGTATGCTTTTAACGCGTAAGAATTTGTATGGATAAAGAGGTGGGATCATTTGTTTATTGTTTTTTATCACCTAAATATTCATGCATCATATAACTAAGAACGTACGAGCCATGTTTAATTCTCCCCATCCCTCCTCCTCCCTCCCCTCCCTCGTTTGCATGCGACAACGGGCCTTACTCTAAGCCCTAAGCCTAAGAAAACATTACGTTGACAAAAATGGTTTCATTACCATAAAGCTTCCCCTGAATCTCTGGGAGTGAACCTCTGGGAGTGAACTTCTGAGAGTGAACCTCTGGGAGTGAACATCTGGCAGTGAACCCCTGGGAGTGAACCTTTGGGAATAAACCTCTAGGAGTGAACCTCTAGGAGTGAACCTCTAGGAGTGAACCTCTTGGAGTGAACCTCTAGGAGTGAACCTCTAGGAGTGAACCTCTAAGAGTGAACCTCTAGGAGTGAACCGCTAGGAGTGAACCTCTAGGAGTGAACCTCTAGGAGTGAACCTCTAGGAGTGAACCTCTAGGAGTGAACCTCTAGGAGTATTAGGCGCTAAAAAGCTTTGCAAATCATGCCGTTATTTCACTGAAATAGCTTCTCTTTTAGTAATGAATACCAGTGTTCTTTGGTATCTTATCTTTGTACGTAGATTATTTGCTCCGAAAAGAGCCCGAAAAAGAACAAATACTACAGCTTTTGCTGTCGACAAATTTATAAGGTTAGTAAAAATTCACAAACTCACCTATTCTGGCAAATGCTGTTTGTGAATTTTAATTCTAACCTCAAATGTAAACGCCTCTTGTACCAGAAGTTGCACTGTTTGTCTTACAGTAACACGGACTTATTACAAAATTTAAATAATGACCCAAAAAAATTAAAAGCAACTGAGTTTAAAAACAAACATCAATTAGTGCTTCAAAACATAATTACCACTTCACGCCCAGAAAAGTGCTGTCATGCATTTTAGTGGAGAAATGTTATGATCACTCTACCATGTCCAGCAGTATTATAACAACATTCATTTTGCTGATTTGTTCCTTGTTGTTGAAAGAACCTCCCCTCCCCCACAGGAAACATCTTTATTCGCACCTCCACTTCCCCAGAGTACCCCTCCACCCCCAGGTATCTCACCATCGACACGATAACCACCCCCGCCTCCGAACCCACCCGAATGTGCTCCCCCCTTTCCCCCGGCTAAAAACCCTTTACCTCCCTTTCCCCCTCCACCAGCAATCTCTGAGTCTTCTCCACTACTGTAAAAGCCGCCGCCAGCACCACCTACAATCAAGAGATTTACAGTTGACATTAGCAACTGAAAAGATCATGGCTTTTAGTAATTCTGAAAAAAAAATCAAATTTGAGCAACAAGTACCACCTCTTTGTTCAAAATACTGATGGATGGCAACAGAATGGAAAAAAACCAAAAAGAAAAAATTCAGTAGTTATAAATAGGAAATTCTTCACCCACCAGAGTTAGGTTTATCGGCTTGTCCTCCATCTCCGTTCATTCCTCCTGACAGGAATGGCGAGTTATACCCTGCATTTCCTGTTGTGTTTACGGACGCATCACATCCTGAATGTTGTTCTGTCATTTTTGCAATTCCTCCTCCCCCTCCGGCTATGATCAAAGGTTTGTTGTCTCCTCTTACTACAAATGTAGCTCCTCCGCCTGAGCCAGGTTTTTCGTTAGAATTCGGTCTTCCCCCTCTTTGACCAACAAGTATACGAATGAACTCATCTTTGGTCAACATAAAGTTTCCAATCATCCGCGCCCCTCTTCCTCCGTTGATGACGCTGTCCTTAATGTACCCCCCTGAGGCTCCTATTGTTTCTATTCTGTATTCACCAGTGTGTGGCACAATCCACAGTTGAATACCGCTGGACACTGTAACTTGTCCGTCATGATCCTGACCTGTGTAGTGCCTGCCAACTGAGTCTGGACCCTCTGTTCCACTCTTACCAAGAGTTGTAAAAACAGCTTTAAATCCTTCATAAAACACATCAAATAAAAGTCAAAGTTATGATACTAGTAAGAAATTGTTATAAATAAATTACTTTTGGTTATGCCAATACAGGAAAACCCGCTAAAAAGATCTGTTTTTTGGGGGGTTCAAGTTGATTTTGCTATTGTATATCGGGTATTTTCTGCAAAACTAGCCTGAAAATGTTCTGCAGGTGTTTTTAAAATTGTTCTAAAGATTAAATACTGCATAGACTATCAACATATGAAATCAATGTACAAGCACAACATTTTCATTAATCCATAGATGGAACTGACCTTCACTACATTAATCAAGGCAATAATATTACATTGGGGGAGGGGTAGCAGTTCTGGTGATAAACAACTCGAAACTCAGCTAAAGTCAAACAAATTCAAAATGCGCCAGCCCCCCTCTCTCTTTCCATGTAACTATTGACTGGTCCCTAATCCTACGAGCAAACTGAGAGAGCAAAACAGTCAATATTCAGTTTCTTAAATTCCCAGTCTAATTATCAGTCTAATTATCAGATCCATTGAACCAATACTTGGGGTGAGATCTTTGCATCATCAGAGCCTTCTGCTGTTAGCAAACAGTCAGTTTTCTAAAACAGTCTCTGGAAAAAGGTCTAATCATTACTAAACTCACTCCACGCCTCCCCAGTCCATTGGTTCATCAAGATCCTTCTATCTTTTGCTGAAAATCTATCCTTCCATTTATCGAGATTGTTCTCCTCTTCCAGCCATGTCTCCATTATTGCACCAATTTTACCTTTTATCATCCGACCACACCCTGCACAATGGGCTGGATTTTGTCAGTGTGGTTTTCAGGCAGCATGTAAACTGTACTGTTGATCTGATTTCTACGTGTTTCAAGGAATTGTTGACTTTGCTGGAAGCCGACATTGTTTGCAAGTAGGACTTTTTCTTGTTTGTCTTTCTCTATTTCTGGAATAAGTGTACCCTCAACCCACTGCATGTTGATCTCTTCATCCATCCTGGCATTTTGCTGGAAATACACATCAACTCTCTTGTCATACTTTTCTTTCTCCTCAGTGGCCACACGCCCTTTTCCTCTGAAGATAAGAGCTGGCTTCACATTTTGTTCCCCATCAGCCCCGATACAAAGTTGTAGAGTAGCCTGTCGTTTATCTAAACCAGATGATGGTTGTGACACGCACAACTGCTTAGCACCCAATCTTGCTCATTAAAAAATGGGAGAGGAACGTAGTCGAAATTGTATCTATTTTTAGATATCCATCTTCCATACTTTAGGTCAACGGTATAGGACTTGTTTCTTCTCCTCTGTGTTTTCAAGGCTCCAATCCCTGTGAAATTTCTGGATCGCATCCCAGCCATCATCTGCCCAGACTTTTTTCTTGTTGGTCCTTCTCCTCAGTACAATGTTGTGTCTTTCCTTGAATCTGTGGAACCAGTTGCTGCTTCGTTTAAATTTTGCAGCTTTTTCTGCGCCACAGCATGCTTCGATTTTCGATTTCATTTTTTTTTAAACCAAAGTTTGGACACTTTGCTTCCTGCTGCTCTCCGTAGTTTAAACTCGGCAAGTAAAAGATTGGAAGTCAGAGGATATTTATCAGTGCGTTGGGATCTGTTCCCAGCGATCCTTCTCCTTTGTCTCATTGGCCTTGTTTTTCTTCGTCATGGTCAGAGTCAGTTCTGCAAGAATTTTGCGTTTGTTTTTTCCCGCTTAATCACCAGCGATCTGTTGACTCCTTGTTGCTTTGCAACTATTTTGTATTTATTATCCAAAAGATCCAGTGCTTTTTTATGAAATCGACGGTGTAGGACTTTCGTTTGTTTCTTCCCCTTCGATTGCTTCTTTGCCTTTGAGTCTGACCTTGCACAACACCAGCCAATTCACGCTGTTGACTCTCAGCCATTCTCTGCATGTTTGTTCCACCTGACTGGTTGTTGATGTTTACAAAAATAGTCAATGTATTTCTAGATGCTGAGCTGATGCTGTTCGAGTTCTGTGCGGCAGAGGTGCACCAGTCGAAAGCCGAGATTGAAAAACACGAGAGAATTAAAATGAGGATCTAATCCTTTTTACTTAAATTTCCGCCTTTGAATGTGTTAAATTAAACGCTCTGTCAAGCACCTTTCTCTTGGGAAGTGGGACCCCCTCACTTTTAAACCCTTCCTTTTGGGCCACCAGCTTTTTTTATCTCCTTACCCTAAGCTTTTTGTATCATTTTAAATAATACATTGAAATAAATAATTTGTTATCAGTTTTTTACACATGCATCAAAGCTTTTTAGTGAAGAAGTTAAATAAAAACTAAAACTAAAAGTCAAACTGTATGATGGAGGTAAGTTTCTAAAGAAAGTGTGGTGTTGCATCGGTGGGAGAGTAAAACAAGGTAATTTGGTGCGATCAACTGAGTTGATAACGTGTGTTGGCCACCGTTGAGAGTTTCAAAGCTAACGTTTCGAGCGTTAGCTCTTCTTCAAATTGAATGGGAGAATTGTGGGTTGTGTGTTTATCTGCAGAACGTGGATTTTCGCTTTTGGTGGGAAACTACAAAGCAACTACAAAGAAAAGGGATAGAACTAATATCGTTCATTATTACAATTAAGAGATGATAGAAAATCAATACCGATAAGCGCAGGAGATCAGAAAACGCAGACTGTAAGCAAAGTCGAGCGTATGACCAAAATATTGATAATTATTATCCAACATTATTGGCTGAATAGATACCTCTTCCGTTGAAACGGCGAATATAAAACCACTCTGGATCCGAGAGGAAATTCTCGGGTCTTGCATCCTTTGTGCGGTTGTTCAATTCACAGATCTGTTCTTTTCTGTTGAAATTATAGCTCTGACAGGTAATTTCCCTTTCACATAAGATATCACAGATATGAAGAGCTGCTACTGTCATTCTCTTGAAAACGAAACCTTTGAGAGCCATGCCACGAATACTAATTTCTATCCTGCATTGATCCCCAGCGGTTACCAGGTTGGTGAACGAAACACAGAGCAGAGAATAACGAAATATCCACAGCATTTTTCCTGAAAAACAAAATTTATAGAGAGGTTCGGGTAATACGAAAGCAATGAATAAATTTTTTTTCTCAAGGCTGACTAAGAACGGTGGATAGTAAGAATAACAGGGACCCCAACCCCCTGCCCTTCTGTTATACTCTTTTTAAAAAGACATCGCAAAAGAGAAACATGTAGCCTTAAAACTAAATTATAAAGAAAATGACTGGAAGAGGGATAAACTTTCATTTTACAGATGATTCTGCAAATGAGGTGCAGGGAGAATTAGAGCTGAATGTACCGTAATAGGACTTGAAAGTTTTTGCAAGGTCTGGACAATTTCGAATGAATGAGCGGACGAGAAATTGATCGAGTAGAGATACCGCCGACAATTCATTTTTCCCGATGCAGAGGTGGTCATTCGTTTAATTTGTTTCGGATTCGGTGTAATATCTTCATGAATGCACACTTGTGCTGGAGTGTGCACTATAAAGACTTAAGGTATATTTTCGAACCTAAAATATCCTAAGGAGCTCAATGACTCGATCATTGCCATCAATCTCGGTTACGATCACACAAGACTGCGTAGAGTTTGTTTAACAAAATTTTCTGTCGAAATCACCTGTTTTGGTTGGGTGAAGTGAAATTGTTCCACAGGCTAATTTTAAACTTTCTCTCTGCGGTGGATCGGTAACGACTTATTCCTTTCATCTGCCCACTCATTAAAGTACATGAGCCCCTCGATTTTCGTTCAACAAAAAACGCAACCAGCTTTTACATCAACTTTGAAGCCGAACTGTACCAAACAGCCAAACAGCGCGAAAATTAAGGTGCTCATTTTTTTTCAAGGTCTGCCAGTAGTCGAAAATCAAACGCGGTTCACGGACAACATTGTAGAGACAGTGACTGCTTATTCAAAGTAAACCTTCCCTTTTGGCTCAGTCTAGAAACCATGTTCCCTGAAATTTTGTCATTTTCAAAATATTGCAAAATAAAATAAAAGACCTCCTTTGAGATATTTGGTTGTCTTATGCCACTCCAGGTATGTAGATGAATAAAATAATTATTGTTTTTAGTACTAATAGGAGATGCTTATGTGAATATTTCAAGGCTTAGTTATGTAGATAAAGATAATAAAAAGTTATATGATGATAGAGAAAACTTTAATAATACCCCATTCACAACATCAACCGGGTTAAATTAAAACAGATATGTGAATAACTGAATTTTCCATAAGTTTCAGGTAAACACTAATTTTTATTTTCCTTCTGCTAAATTTGAAGCTGAAAAACATCGGTTTAAGCAGCTGCTTAGAAGAAGACAATTTTCAACCAAATTTAACAAAACAGCTCTAAAACATGTTTAAGCATTGGTGTGAACTGGTTATAGCAAAATCTTACCTCGTCCTTCTGGTCTTAGGGAAGCCAAAACGGTGAGAACGAAATAATAGAAAACAGACAGCATGTCTTCAGAAAGAAACGCCCGTTCTTGCAGCGAACGCCCGTTCTTGCAGCGAACAGCTATGGTGAGCTTTTCCTCCTTAAGGGAAACATTAGGCGAAATGAGACAGCTGCATTTTACCTCCTTTGTCTGATTATGAGGTTCTCAATGGTTGTCACAAACACGACTGAATGAGCTTCCCTGGGAAATAGTTGGTTGTTGGAACTCGATTATCCTTAATGCATATCAATAGCCTTTAATTTGATGCGTTATTTTATTGTGGCTTAATTATGTCCGTATGAGTGCGACGTATGAGGTAGACAATAATACTCTTTACCAACTGTTTACACGCATTCCTCGTTCGCCCAATCTTGAGCGTAAAATAAAGACGAACGTTTTACCAAAACACTTTGATGTTCCGAAATTTTGGGGTTGGCTCTGATGGAGAATTTGTTTCTTATTCTTATATTTATTTCTCATTCTTTGATTGTGAGGTGAAACCAGTTTTTCATGTAATAAGTCTGTTTTCAAGTTAGTAAATAAAGCCTTCTGGTTTGCAATAGCATTTCTTCAAGACAGAGAATTGAGTATTGAGTTAAATCTCTCGGTGATAAATTTTCTTCTCGCAGATCACTTTAATTAATCGGAGGCGGTGTCGTTGATAAGAATGTCGGCCTGAACTGCAAAATGGGAGAACCTTTTAGTAATGCACATCTAGTCAACTCCGACACAAAAAAAATGTGCTGCATGGTGAGAGTATGGAACTGTAAAAACCTGCCTGGCAAAAACATGTCGCATGAAGCAGTTAAACAGTGGTCAAAGATATCGTCGTCTCTGATTCCATTCTAGAACTAATTTCTCCATTCTCTTACTTTTTAAGCCCCAGATGAAAATCGACGTTCTAATTCATTGTGCACTCGACGTTTTGACACTTTCAAGGCTTTTATTGCGTTTTTGCAGTGCAGTACTTTAAATTGTTGTTTCTTTTTTCAACTTTCTTCGTCCAAAATTTTAAGGACTAATAATACGAGTGAAAATATTTTTGTCCTTAGCTTCTAAGACTAAATTTCATTTCCTTTGCTACGAATTGATTGCGCTACCCTTACAATTGATATTTGTATCAATCAGCATGGTCATGGTCTTAGAATTTTCTGGGCTCCTGGCGGTCCCTAATTAAAGACATGTTTTTCCTACACGGACCTATTTCCGTTCGTCTCATTATAATCCCAAGTGTTAATCATAATCAAGCATTTTTCGTAAGATCAACTGACCACAAGCCCTCCCTTTAGTTATGACAACTTTCTCTGATTATGGAGCGAACAAAGCTCCCTGCGACTCATAGTCTTTATTCAAAAACTAATCTGCCCAACCTAAAAAGACTACAGTACCAAATAACATAGAAGATAGTTACCCTTACCAGGTGCTTTTAATAAAGTGATTTCATTCCTACTGTCATGGCCCAGTTCTAGATCACGTTGGTAAAGAACCCATACTTAGTAGCCGAGAAACAAACCACCCATGTGGCAAATTATTCATAACAGTTTTTTCAATAACTCGCATGTGATCTCTCCAGTGATGACAATCTAGAACCATTGAATGTATGAGACTCACCGACAGATGTTGTCTAAAAATGTGAATATTTTTCTCATGTTACTTACTAATAATAATAGTGGCTCAGGTAAATGTGTTTTATTCCTTTTACAGCGAGGGATAAAAAAAGTCTTTGGAATAGTTGCTTTTGTGGTTCTATTCTGTTTTATTTTTTTGTTAATTTTTTTACACGAGAATTAACACACACAAAAAAACACTGAGGTACGAGTCTGTTTTCAAGTTAGTAAATAAAGCCTTTTGGTTTGAAATGGCATTTCATCAAGACAGAGAAATGTATGAGTATTGAGTTAAATCTCTCGGTGCTAAAGTTTCTTCTCCCAGATAATTTTATCAGATGGTGTCGTTGGTACGGATATCGGCCTGAATTACAAAATGAGAGAACCTCTTGGCAAGGCACATCTAGTCTGCTACGACACAAAAAATTGTTTTACATGGTGAGGGAATGGAACTGTGAAAACCTGGTCAAAGATATCATCGTCTCTGATTCCATTCGATTCCTGGGTAAACCTGGGGTTGTCGGGGCAAATTACTTCTTAGAGTATACCTAAAGACGATACTATCTTGGTCAGACTTGTACATTCTTATTTATCCATATGTGCGTTAAGATGGGAGGACTTGACGTTTCAGATTCGCCCCTATTTTGAAAGAATTACCTTTCAAAAGTTATAGGAGACTTTTCAGTGAACTTCATAGCCTCATCTAAACACTAGGGGGAAATTTTAAAAATTAAGCAACCCTGAGACTGATTCGAAGGTTTGTATAACAGGCTCCACGAATACCTCCAACTTCCTTCCTGTTTAGATGAACTTAATTTCTATCTTTTACAGTTCGATGAAATAGAACTACTTTCTCCATTCTTTTGCCTTTTAAACCGCAGATGAAAGTCAACGTTCTTACTCATTGTGCAATAGACGTTTTGACACTTTCAAGGCTTTAATTGCGTTTTTGCAGTGTAGTACTTTAAATTGTTGTTTCTTTTTTTAACTTTCTTCATCCAAAATCTCAAGGACTCATACCACGAGAGTCCTTAGCTCTTTAGCTCTTTAGACTAAATTTCATTTCCTTTCCTCAGAAGAATTGATCACACTACCCTTAAAATTGATATGTGTATCACCACTGTGATGATGAAAGTCTTAGAATTTTCTGGGCTCCTGGTGGTCCCTATTTGAAGACATGTTTTCCTTCACAGACCTTTTTTTCGTTCGGCTCACTAATAACCCCAAGTGTTAATCCTAATCAGGTATTTTTCATAACAATAACTGACTACAAGACCACCCTTTAGTTATGAAAACTTTATTGTGGAGCGAACAAAGCTCCCTGCGACTCATAGTCTTTATTCAAAAACTTATCTACCCAACCTAAAAACACTTCAGAACCAAATAGCGTAGAAGATAATTGCCCTTACCAGGTGCTTTTAATAAAGTGATTTCATTCCTACTATCATGGCCCAGTTGCAGTTGCAGGTTGTGAAACAAGCCACCCATGTGGCAAATTATTCATAACAGTTTTTTAAGAACTCGCATGTGATCTCTTCAGTGATGACAATCTAAAACCATTGAATGTATGAGACTCACCGACAGATGTTGTCTAAAAATGTGAATATTTTTCTCATGTTACTTACTATAATAATAGTGGCTCAGGTAAATGTGTTTTATTCCTTTTACAGCAAGGGATAAAAAAATTTTAAAAGAATTGGAATAGTGGCTTTTTTCGTTCTATTCTGTTTTATTTTTTTGTTAATTTTTGTTCTTTCTCACGATAAAACAAGTTTTTCACTTTGAAAAAAAACATAAGAAGCCTAGGCTATGCCTTTTGATCTTCACGAAAAAATAATACGTATATTACAAAACTGATAATTACTCGCAGATAAAACGAAAAGTTCTTCGTCCGAATCAATCTAGTAGACATCTCATGGATGTTCGGCGCACGAAGAAAACGTCAGGGTGTAAAACACTCATCTTATTCATAACTTAA